AAACCAAAAAAAAAAAAGACCCTGCACTTGCATGATATACTCTACTACCAGTCTTCCTGGTGGGCGGATGAAAAGTAAACAAAGCATGCGCGATCATATTCCGCACTACTCCCCACCCCGCGGGCGCAAACAATGACGAAAGCAATGACGCATCACGCACATGCTGTGATGACGGCGATGGAGCCGAATGCAAGAGACGCCATTATGTAGAGCGCGAAGCCTCCCGACGGCACGGCGAAGGAGACCGCCTCCGGGATTCGTTGCGAGGGGTTGTCGAGGCAGAAGCCGTCACACAGCGTCTTCAGCAACACGGAGGTCGCCACCGAGGTGAAGATGGCGGTGGTCCACGCGGTGAGCCACAGAAAGGGACGCATCACATGTGTAAACATGACACCAACTGCGAAGAGAATCGTGAAGAGGCAGGAAAAGATGGCTAACAGGGAGAAGACCTGCCCAACTTTGTAGTTGCTGCTGTACTCCTTGCACGGTATATCATCTAGATTGTACTTCATCGCCACATGCTCCTCCCCCAGCCCTATTGGCAGCAGCAGGTCCAGGTTGAAGTACACGTGGAACATGTCCTGCTTGATCATCACGTCCACGCTGGCACCTGGCAGCGTCAGGTTCACCGGCATCGTCACCCCGAGGAGGGAAATGCTGTGCACTCTGGCGGCACCCACATTAGTCAGGTGCAGGGCCGGGGACTCGAAGAGGGTCGTGGTGAAGCCGGCGACGAGCACCACCCAGAACACCACCAGCAGCAGCAGGACTGCCACGTGAGGCAACTTCACGCTCATCCTTTTTTTTTTTTGTTGTTGTTGTATTCTGACAGTAACGGGCCTGTCGTCACGCTACGGGCGACAGCAGAGGAAGTGGACGAGCGAAGCACACCGAACGAAAGAAAGCGCAACCAGAACAACAACAACAACAACAGCAACAACAACAACAACAAAAAAAGGGGGAAGAAGAACAAAAAGAATCCCAGCAATCAAAAGCCGCCGCATCGGCGCCTGTGCCAAGAGGCTGCGAAGCAAACATACAAACGCGACATACTCCGCACGCACACTCATACACTCACGTGCACAGGGGAGGAGGGCGCCGATTAAGCAGGCGAAGAGAAAAAGAGAGTGGGTGAGTGAGTGCGGAACACAACCCACACACATACACATACACACACACACACACAGGCACACAGACACAGGTATCCACAAAGAAATAACACCGCTTGGCACAGCACACCATGTGGGAACAGAACGGAGGAACTTTTCTCTCATTCATACACCAGCGATAGCACAAAGTACAGAATTGCGGCGATCACCATAATGACTTGGTACGCCACACGCACTCGTGCGCCCGCCTTGAGTGCGTCGAGCTTCTTCCACGCCGTTGTGGCGTCAACGAGCAGGTCCCCGCTGCGAAAAGCCCAGTAGTCGTACACCAGCTCCACCGAGCTGATGACGCACATAATCCATCCGCCCACCAACAAGTAGTCCAGCAGCGCAAACACGCGGATGCTCAATTCGGCGATGATGAGTGGGTTCAGCATCTGCTCGAGCTCCATTGCGTTGCTCATCTTCTCCTCGTAGTCCACGACGAAGGCGATGTGAAAGAGGGAGATGGACAGCGCCGCTGTCTGAAGTAAGAAAGCAAGCACCCATGTCACAATATTGTGCACGAAATGCCCAAACAACACCAACGCGAAGCAGAAGTGCATGACGGCGAAACAAATCGCCTGCCGGCGCCGCCACGTGGTGTAGGGCCGCCCGCGCCGCGCCACCAGCACCGGCACCCAGTCCACCTGCATCACCACCGCCTCGCGCAGTCGCTGTGAGGCGTCCATGCTTCAACCACGCACGCGTGCCCGCACCTCAGAGCCGCCCTTGCTATCTCGCTTCCGCCGCTCCTTCGTATTATCTTCTCTCTCTCTCTCTCTGTCTGTCTGTCTGTCTGTCTGCTCCTCCGCGTTACCTATTTAAGATGGATCTGTCTGACCTTCCTTCCTTCCGCAACAGAGACTAAAGAGGCTGGCGCAACGACAAGACAGGGAGACAAAAGAGAGTGAAGAGGGCTGTAGAACGGAAGCTGCACACACAGCACAACGCCCACTGCAACCCCGATAAACTTAACACAGCACCGGTAGATGCAGAGATGTCTTTCGTTTTTTTTTTTTGTTCCTTTTTTTTGTGTGCTCTTTCCTTCTTTTTGTCGCATCGCTCCTATGCCCCCTTTGCGTGGCCCCTAGCGGTCCACGACGGCCTTCCTGCGCACCATCTGCCTCCAGCTCTCCGGGTACTGCGTGGGGTTCGTATGATGCAGCGGTGTAACGACGGTGGGGCCGCGCGGCATCCACAGCCAGTTCGCTGGTGTATTTGCCTTGTGCCAGCGCACGAGAAAGCGCCGCTTCGCCCTGTGGTTCTGCTTGAAGAGGTTCAGCGGGAACTTTGGCTCCACGTCGCCGAGCACCGGCATAAGCGGGTGCTGCGACCACTCGCGGTGGAGGTCACGGATGCGGTTGAACTCCTCCGTCTTGCCGTCGAGCGTCTCCCGCATCATCCAGTGGCGCAGCTGGTCGAGGTGGTCGTACGTGAGCCGCACTGGACGCGGCAGCCACTCCACCGGCCCCTTGTCGTACCACGCCACGTTGTCACTCGGCTTGCTGCGCATCTTGTTGTTGCGCCCGTAGCCGTTACGCTTCGGCTTCTGATGTGTCGTGCCTAAAACAGTGAAGCGCTCCGGCGTCGCCGTCAGCGCGGCGAGGGTGCGGCGCATCTGCCGCGTTCACTCTCTCCGCCTCTCGTTATCGCTCCACCACCTCCCACACACAGACGGATTGAGAGAGACAGAGAGAGAGCAAAAGAGAGGCTCACCAAACAAACGATTTTGGAGTCCACGCAAAAGAGCAGCAGCCGCAACAACTGTGGCCGCCCCACCCCTCCCTCCCCCCACTATGAACACTACGGCCCCACTATGTGAACGGCCTCCCGCCGAGTCCCACACACTTTATCCGCACAGCACGTCCCCAAAGAAAGAGAAAGCGAGTGGAGTGCGAGTGACGCGAGCGCGACACAGGAAGAGAGCAGAAAGAATGCAACACAATACAAAGCCAAAACAGAAAGGGATGACGGAACAGAACCAACAAAACCACAGCGTCAATAGTCATCTCCCACTAGTAAAACAGTCTCTCACGTTTGCGCCGCAGGAGGAGACAAATATCTGCCCGTCCGGCATCGCGAGCCTTACGAAACGTCAGCGCCCAAACGCGCTGGTCAACCACAACACTGCTGATTCCGTGCTCTTCGCCGCCCTCTTCGTTGGCATCGTCCAGCTTGCGCAATACACACAACACCAAATCCCACAGTTCCGCCCTAATAAGAACCAAAAGGACTGCGCTGCACGCGTTACCAAAACCTGTTGGCTGCCCCACGATACTAGGTAGCAAAGCCTCTAGGAGATGCGTTGCGTCGTGTGCAGCATCGATGTCACTCTCTCCCTTTGCGTCTACCTCATTCCATACGGGAGTCCCACTGCTACCGACGCTAATACTACTACTACTGCTGCTGCTGGGGACGCCAAAGGAAGGGGCTAGAAGCACCACCGCAGACGCTGCACTGTAGAGAGGCAACAGGATCGGCTTTTCCTGCTCCTGCTGCTGCTCCGCCAAGCGCGAAAGCAGCTCCACCACAACTCGAGCCGTCACCACCCGCCCATCCGTCGCATGCGTTGGTGAAGCAGCCACAACGGCCACGACAGTCTCCATCGCCAGCGCCAGAAAACACTGCTGGTCCGTCACATTGTCACGACTTGCCTCAAGGCTCTGCGCCACTGCCCCTCCCGGACGGAAGAGCTCCACCAAATCAGCAGCAACATCTTCCCCGCTCTGGCACCGGTGGCACATATCGCAGTGCAGCCGCATCCACTGCAGCTCCGCCGCACTGAATCGGCAGTCCGGCGCAGCTGCAGCGGATTCGGGAAACAACGATGCGTCCTCCAGCGCCAGTGCTGCGTAGAGGGACGCATCTTGGAGCACTGCCGCCTCATTTTCGAGTAGCTCCCTCAACAATTCATCGATGCCCTTCTGCAACGCTACTTCGGGTGACGAGGCATCGAGATCCCCGCTGTCTGTGTGATACTGCTGCTGCTGCTGTGATAATAGCGATGATGATGATGATGATGCCTCAGTATCTTCTTCCATTTTGTGATCCTCATGCATGGGACTCTCGTCGCGCACGTCACTGTCAGCTTCGGCGGGGCGAAGGCAACGACTCAGCGTCACTTCACTCTGATACGCATGTCGGCCGTAGTACACAGTCGCCAGAAAGTCATTGGCGAAACGGCACAACATCTCCTCGTCCGCCACACTGACGCACCACGGGCTCCGCCTCAGCCGCCACCCAGTAGAAGCGGCTGACACGCCATCGGTACCTCTCTCAACAAATACTGTGCAGAACACCGACTGCAACTCAATAAGGAGATGGAACTCCTTCGCCTCTGCTGCACACTGTGCAAGGGCGAGGAGCAGCTCCGTGAATGCCTGCAGCACAGTCGGCGCCTCCACGTCGTTCTCCTTGCTAGCACTGTTGCTGCTACTGCTGCTGGGTGGGGCCGCGATCCCGCTACAGCACATACGATTGAGCAGGCCTGCCACCACGTCATCATGTCGCTGCTCCATCAGAAGTCCCCATGCCTCTGACCCATCCCGCGCCACAGATGGAAGGAGGCCCAGCTCCAGCAGGCATTCCCACACGGGGATGTACATCTCCATAAGTAAGTAACGTACGTATGGCGAAGCATTTACTAACCGGGGCAACGCTGCCACGTCTGCGTCCTCCGCAGATGCTCCAATGGCGGCAGTAGCACCAACATCCGATGCCCCGAGAAGCGTTTCTGGGACCACGAGCAAACTGGTGCTGCTTGACGGCAACGCAGACTGCACAAAGTCTATGAACACACGCAGATCGCGCAGCATCCCTGTGGGAACGGGCAGGCGACGTTCCTGGGCAACCCTCCGCAGCCAATCCAAGACATACGGAAAAGCGCCCAGACGTATGTTCCGAGACACAGCTCCGTAGACGACTTCGTCCGTGAGAACAAATCCCTGAAGTGCCCCAAGGTTCTTCAGGTTTCTATTCCATGTGTCGACCTCATCCGCCATATGTGACGTGAGCGGCGTCATCATGAGAACACGTTCACGGTATTCGCCGTCATCAATGCCGCTGCTGCTTCCACCGTTCTCAAATGAACACGACTCACCAGAATGATTGCTCTCCGTCTTCTTTTGGTGCTGTAACTTCTTGACCTGCTCCATTACAGTGGCAGATCGTCTAAGAATCTGCTGACGCGCGTTGAAGTAGGTCTCCGCAGTGCGGCTCTTGATGGAGAGGAACTTATCCTGTTTAAACGGGACAGGTTTAAAGGATGGCACCGGCTTTGGCGCGACAAGCCGCTTTCCTTCTGAGACACCTCTTGCTGCGCGCAGGGACGCGGTTCTTGTCAGAGCCACTCCCCGCATTGCAGCACCTCCCACCTAACTTTCGGTTTGTGACCGCACCGTACAAGAATGGAGAAAAAAAAGGATAAACATGGAAAAAGAGGGAAGGAGGAAGGGAGGGAGAGAAAGAGAGAGGGGGGGGGGCATACAGTATAATGAAAAGTCCTTTCCGTAAACTACAGGAACTCAAATCCCATCCCTCATATATATATATATATATACCCTAGCGTAGGGGGGGGGGTGTCAATACTCTCACTTGATTGTGCTGTACATATGTATATGTCGTTTTCCTCTTTGCAGCAGCGTAGCCGAGTAAGGAAGGAATGTCTAAGTTGCATCATCATATCACTCACGTGCATACAGAAGTGACGCTAACAGATGGAGAGATGGCAGAGATGACGGTGGGTTCTCATCGATGGAGAGGAGAAGGCCCAGGGCATAACAGGAAGATGAAGGTTCCAGTTGCTCTGGTTTCTGCTGCTGCTCCTGCTTCCGATGTTCTTGGGCATTCTGCACTACTTTCGCCTCAGCACGCCGCGCCCGCCGCTGGGCCACTACAATGGGCATCATCTTCGCCTCTCTGTCCGCGAGCCGACGTTGTACGGACGAAGACAAGTAATTTCCGTGCACCTCTAGATACATATTGCATGTAGATTCATCTAGACGGTTGAGAATCCCACCAAAGCTCTCGTCCTCCGTCACACCATTCCAGCGCAGAGCCAACACATCAAGTGGCGTGACACCAACAACAGCATCACCGAGACGTGGGCTCGACGCCGCCTCTCGCAGCAGGGCGCGCAGCCCAGCATTCCCTAATCCACACTCACACAGGTCGACGCGACGCAGAGAGCATCGAGGGTGAAATATAATCGTCCCCAGCCACAGCGCCTGTGACTCCGTGAGGCAGCTCCCTGAGAGGTCAAGAAATTCCAACTCGGCCGCAGCTTTTCTATCATCTGATGGCGCACTCATTTCTGCGTCCTTTTCTGCTGCCGCCGCTGCCCCTTCTTCAATCACCGCTGGAGACGCCGCTGTCATTGCAGAGTCTGCTGCATTCAGTTTGTATGCATCTTCTCCCTTGCACTCGCTCCGGGACCACTTGCAGCCCTTCCCAACGCCGCAGCAGTACTCCGCGAGGTGGAGCACGTGCTCCATGTAAGCGGCGGGCAAATGCAGACCCCCACCCGCCTGCAAACTGCGCAGCGGCAAGTGGTACAAGCAGTCCAGCAGCGTTGCAAACGCCACCTCCGAGACAATCTTTGGCGTCACCTTCACAAAAACAATGCTGCGGATGTTGGTGTTATGAAGTAGCGCGTCCTTTGTGTTCGGAAACGCGATCAGCTGGGGGTCCAGGCGCAGGCACCGCAGCGTCGCGTCGTTGCTGCCGATGCGTTGGAGCAGGCATGAACTTCCCGTCGTCCGCAGCCGCCTGGCGGGGTGCAGCAACGCCGCCGCCGCCGCC